TTTTTCTTTATGTATTTGGTACTTACAACTGTAAAATATGTTTTTCTCTTTTCAACACAGCAATATTAGAAGAAAATGGATACTACCACACATGTTTTCATCTACGTTTATGTAGGATTGATATTGCAAATATATGTGATGGGATTAATAATTGAAGACTTTAGAAACATTTTAAAAACACTTCCAGATTTGTTGTACTTTTCTATTTGCAATAAAATAAACATAACTGGATATTTCCCTGGACACATTGTACTGGAATATAAATTCATTATCAGAGTTATTCGGTCCAGAATCAAGCAATAAGGAATCTCTGAATTGTATTCAATAAGCGCACTAACATGTATACATTAACATACCTGTGTCTGTGACAATTAACACCTCTTTTTCTAATAGTTTGGGCACATATTATCGAACATAAATAAATGATAAGAGTAACATTTTTTAATCAGAACTGCTCGGCAGTTTTATTATTTCATATTTAATAAACTGCAGACTCCCTCTTGTGGGAGCTGGAAGTATTTCACTCTCTGAGGAATCTATTAGGCATATGTAAAATGTCAGAAGTATTACAATTGAATTCATTCAAATTAAAGAGTCATGGCATTAATATATAATGTGTAGCAACTGTATCTACTCTGTATACAATTATTTATCACAGGCACATTCTAATATTTTTATTAAGTATTAGCATTAGAAGATTTGAATTTGATCTTAAGGTGAGATCAATGGTCACAGATAAAACGATTTTGTGACAGATTATATATGGTGTCTTATATATGTTCCATTATAACCAATCTCCTTCGAAGTTTGAAGGGATTTATTAGATTATTTTGCAATAGAATTTTTTAATGAACGTCAACGGTCACAGATAAAGTATGTTTTACTAGAGAATAGTGTACTATCTTGTGTTACATAGTAACTATGACCATTTCTGCACTCAAAACTGAGCTCTAAGTTCATTTTTTCAATTGAAGAGAATAAAAGGTTAAAGTTTGAATACGAAGCCAAATCCTTAAAGCTGTTCCTTGTTTGACAGATCAGATTTAAAAGTAACTTTTATACTTATATATGTACTGTAACTCAATTAGTAATCTACATTTTTCAAATCAAACTTCTACAAAAATAAAAAAAACGATCACCGTACTCCATTCAATACTTCCAGCACAATACAAAACTAGAGTTCATCCAAAAAATACGTATTCAAGCAAAATAGCTACAACATTGCTAATAAACAACTGTTAAGGGAAAGGTACAGGAGCAAACGATGATCCTTAGTTTAAAATGAATATTAAAATGAGGAAACTGAACAGCTCGAGGTACAGTGTATTTCGATTGATCCTTTGGAGTCAGAACTGTTCACTCGGCGCCTAACAATGATCTGATTGATCCTTCAGTCTTTGTTTTTTTATTATTGAGCATTCCATATTTTTAGACATGTCTTTTTACCGATATAATTAATAGGTGCACGGCAATCTGATGTGCAGTGCTCACGGACTCGATGTCCTCAGTGGGATGTACTGTAAATCATGACACCCGAACAGCAGCCTCCTCACGCTGAGCTGATCAAACCGACCCCTTGGGAGACAGCGGCTCAGTTAGTTCCTACTGGCTGTGCTTCTCATTACAATAAAGCACAAGGACCTTGCGGATTGTATCGTATATAAAATGGAAAATGAACTGCTTTAATTTCATTTTACTTTGTTTCTACAAGCTACTTCGAAATGGACGCGAACATCCTTACGTCTTTAATATTATGTTTCACTTTTCAGGCGGACGGCGATCTGGCTTGCCGGATACTGGGAGAATATACAATGTCAGGTTTATTCAAAGACGGTGACTTGGTGCTCGGTGGTGTTTTCCCTGTCTTTGGCACTCTGGAGGAGAGCCATACCTTGTTTGATACAGAACCACCAAAAAGAAAGTGTGTTGGGTAAGTCATACATTCGCACACAGGGAAGGTTTGGGGATAGATCATAAAAAGCGCCTTTAAAATAATTTTGTATTATTTTCTATTCTTATTAAAGTCTCACGTTCACTTCTAGTCTGGAAGGGGGACGATAATTTGTCAATGTACAGTAAGTGATGATACATTATTCTGCCCACTCGTGACGGGGTGTGGTCTTTGATTCCTTGCTCACTTAAACAGGACCAGTGGAAAAAAACCATGAGGGATGATGTGTTATAGCATTAAAAAAATGATGTGTAATAGCTAGTCAACACTATTTTGCATATCCTCTGGAGCATCGTATCTTCAGCATCGTGCCCTCAGAATGAAAGCTGAGGTACTGTAGCATTGCTCTTCGCCACACAGCTGTGCCGTCTGTCACCCTACTGAATCATGTTCTAATGACAGGTTTGATCCTCGTGTGTTTCGATGGGTGCAGATGATGGTCTTTGCCATAGAGGAAATCAACACGGACAGCAGTTTACTGCCAAACATCACACTTGGATACAAAATCCTGGACAATTGCGATTCTCCGGCTGAAACTGTGAGAGCGGGTCTAACCTTAGCCAACGGACCAGAAAGGATTAACTCATCATGTCCCTCCCCAAGCACTGCTGTTATCACATCTCACTCTTTACACATCGCCAGAGCAATCGGTACCTTCGGTATTCCTTTGGTAAAGCTTAATGCGATTTTTAAAATTCATTATTACAGCCATACCGTTTAGAAGTCTGCATGAGCGATCTATAGATTAGTGTTCTATTTTATATTGAAGATTGATGGTTGAAGAGTTTTAATGTTAAATGTTTAAATGATGATATCTTGTTGTTTTTTTTTTTTGCTATAATGAGTAATCTACTCTTTTACTTTAACCGTAATTTGAAAATTGTAATGTATATTGCACAAGTATAGTTTGGTAATTTTTTATCTTTGAACTGGTTGGTAAAGTTCAGTTTCAGAGCTGTAATTATATTACATACAATATGAACATAAATGTTTTTATTTATATTTCACAAGGTCAGCTACACTTCAACATGTGTTTGTCTGAGCGACAAAAGAGAGTTCCCCACATTCTCCCGCACTATTCCCAGCGATTTTTTTCAGGCCAAAGCTTTTGCTCAGCTCGTTAAACATTTCGGATGGACATGGATCGGAGCTATTCAAGCCGAGAATGAGTACGGTATATTTGGGGTTCAGTCTTTCACTAAAGAAGTTCTAAAATACGGAGTTTGCATCGCCTTCACTGAAAATATTTTAAGCTCCTATTCGAGAGCTGCAGTACTTCAAATAGCTGAAACTATTAAAAGGACAGGAGTGAAAGTCATATTAGCATTTGCTTCAGAAGATGACCTGTACCCTTTAATGCAGGAGATTGTCAGTCAAAACATAACTGGAATACAGTGGTTAGGAAGTGAGGACTGGGTAACAGCAGCGAGACCCTCCACTGTAGAAATATTCAAGTCTTTTGGTGGCACAATAGGGTTTGCAACTCGCAAGATGGCGATCCCAGAGTTCAAAGATTTTCTCCTCAATATACGTCCGTCTCTCGATTCTGCAAATAACTTAAATAATGCATTCTGGGAACACATATTTGAGTGCACTCTACGTTTGAAAGAGGAATCCTTCCAAAAAAATGTTTCAGAAACCAAGTCAAGGATATGCACAGGAGAAGAGAGACTAGATGAAATAGAAAACGCTTTATTTGATGTCTCACAATTGAGAGTAACTTATATTGTGCAAAAAGCAGTGTATGCTGTAGCACATGCACTTCATGACTTACTATTCTGTAAAAAGGAAGAAAATAAAACCATTAGACTGTGTGGAGATATTGCAAGAATAGAACCCTGGCAGGTGAGTAAAATCTAATTGCAGGTCTCATGTTTGTATGAGCTTCAATATGTACATGACAAGGTGCTGTATACTGTCAGATTCTAGAGCTTTTATCATTACGTGAAATAAAAGAAGATATAAAAATATATCAGAGATGTAAAAATATAAGGAGATATAAAAAAGTATTAGAAAAAATAAATTATGCTTTATTTTATGTAAAAGCTTTAATATAATCTTAAACCACTTATAGTACATACAACGTGCATTTCACAATAAAATAAAAGTAAAATTGAGTCAGACATCAACTCCATTGCTGTTCACTGGCAGGGTCAACATCAGTCATATCAAACTTTAGATGCAATTTAGTGACATTCAAACATTTATATCAGAAATGCAATAGGGGAATACTGAGCCATATCTTGGTAACAGTTTTAATGTGGACATAGATTTTAGTATCTTCTGCATAGAAGTGACCTATGTAAGTCTAGCACTTGACTGAGATGAAATACATGACCACTACATGACAGATGGCCCGGTATTGAGCCCTGTAGGATGTTAGATGAGCAAATGACGCACTGAAATCTAAGAGAATAACAATATACAGCGCAGCTAAGTCAGTTTACGTGAGGAAATCATTAGCAGCTTTAACAGGAGCAGCTTCATTCCCACAGTATTTTTCTGAAAACAGAGTAAAAGAGTTCAAACTGTTTATTTACAGTGAGGTGTAATGTTATTGCACTGAAATTTATTCTGATATTTTCACAAGAAAGGTTAGATATACTGTAGGCTGCACTAAACTAAGTTTTAGGTATTTTTCCAAAACTGTTAAGGTCACTGAACATATAAAAAGAGTGAACTTTGTGAACCGTTTTGGAGAAGCTGTGTACTTTGATGAGAACGGAGATCCTCCTGCTGCCTATGACATTATAAACTGGCAACTCAACAAAGGAGTGGTCAGCCATGTGACAGTGGGTCACTTTGATACATCACCAGATGGAGGCAGTCAACTAGTGATTGATGAGGACAGTATTGTCTGGAGCACTGGGGAAGAGGTAAGCAGTCTTTTAGAACTTGATACTATTTTAAAAAACTTCCACTTAATCTGAATAGATTAATTTAAATGTATGGGTGATACTTTAAAAAAATCCCACTTTGTTTCTCTCTTCAGGTTCCAGCAGGAGTGTGTTCTGAGAGCTGCCCCCCAGGCACAAGAAGAGCAGCCAGGAAAGGCCAGCCCATCTGCTGCTTCGATTGCATTCCTTGTGCTGATGGTACCATGGCAAACACTACAGGTATGAACTATGTAGCAAGAATTTACCTCTAAATGTGGAGCTTCTCCATACTTTGTGATCAACTTTTGGTGCATGTCTCCATATTCCAAGAAGACACTGTAAGGGAATTGGCAAGGGTTATCCTGGGAACTTTCGGAACTTGCTAATTAACACTTACAATAATATAACACATAACCTGAAATATTGTATTACAATATTTGATTATTAATGTAAATTAATCAGAATCCACATTGAAAGACTTCAAAACGTCTTGCTGATTTCTCTCTATTATTGTTTTTAGGAAATATTTATTATTAAATATTCATCTTTGCATTGCCTGTAAACTTATTTTTCATCATGCAGATGGTTTACTGCCCTGCACATACTGTATTTCTTTAAAAATGAAATGAAGGTGAAATGACTATTAATACAGTAGCTTTACTGCAAGTTCTGAAGATGCATCATCTAATTGTTCACTGTTTCTGGTCACAATAAAATGCTTTAAGAAAAATCATTTCATGGTTTCAGTTATTGATCTACTCAGTAATAATAAGTTGAAATGGGGGATCTCTACTTTTTTTTAACCTTTTTCAGGTGCAGCTGAGTGCATGGAATGTCCACAGGACTACTGGTCTAATGATGGAAAAGACAGCTGCATCCTCAGAGACACTGA